AGAAGATGTTTGGTCCCAGAAGCTATCTGGTTTCCTGTTTGTAGACCACATACAATCCAGGTTATCCTGACTAATCAAAGTCTAGCAGGCTCGGGTTGTATAAACTGCTTGTGGTGAGCAAAAGAAGGACTTTATCTGCTAATGTGTGATGATGATTTGGAACTAGCTCACGTTTCACTACATCAAAGAGTAACGAGGTATAAGTTCAGCATTACTCCACACTAGTTTGGCTGTACCAAAGTAGAGAAAAGAATATACTTTCCCCAACCCCGACCAGTGTTACTGACCGTTAGTAGTACCGTACCACCAAGAAATAAGAGTCAGAGCAAGATGATAATCTGCCAAATTTACTCTGGTGTCAATATTTTTCTCAACTAGCAAAAAACGTCTCTAGTAAACTATGTAAATGATATATATAATATTGTCATCTCATGTCACAATCACTGTAATTTATGTATTTATTATTTAGCAAACAAAATAATGTTGATTTGTTTTACTAAAATGTATAATATCCTCAAACTTCATTGGCATAATATACATTGATTTTGACTTTTTTAAACATTTTTTGTTTATTTTGGTTGTTTTCACTTGTAACAAATTATTCACATTTTGCTACTTCTCTGTATACTTCTAATGTAGAGTAGACATATATAACGAGCCCCTGCAATTGTCTTTCGGTTGTTTCTCCTAGAAAAAGATCGCAGATGTCTCGGTTCAAATGACAATAATCAGACAGTAACCCAGTCAGACTGCTGACAAACAAATAATTCAATTAGTCAATTAGCTTCCTAATCTTTAATTCTCCCCTAAACGGAAGACAGATGTTTGTCTATTTCCCTTCTGTGCCCCAGTACTTCGTGCAGTGAGCTCAACAAACAAACGAACAACACAATAATCTGATTATTGTAATTGATTGGCCTAATTGTCTGTAGCACAGACAATACCGGGAGGGATAAACTGACGTGCTTGTTGTCTGTGAGTCACACACTTGGCAGTTATCAAACTGATCATTGACACAGTTCAACGATCTCAGAATGTAGATTAATCTAAGAGTTTAATTACTTTTCTGTTTTATGAGGATGAAATGAGAGAAGATTCACACGTTGTATTAATCCTGACAATCGATAACAGTAGCACATAAGGCTTGCTACTGTGTGAATACTCGTGCAAAATTAATGGCAGGCTATCAGAGATGACAGCAAAGGAGTCTTTTTTTCTTTTTACTCCATCAACATGATAACATCTCACATCATTTAAGGCTTGATCAGGTCTAAACCGTGCCATCGCGACCCTTGGATACTCTTTTACTTGAAGGTTATGAGATGTTTTTACAAATAAAAATTAAAAAATAAGTAAATAAATAAATAAAATCTCTTTTTTTTTGTCTCTCCACCTGGTTGTTTAGGCGGCGACTTTGCCCATAACTATGACAGATGAAAAGTGGCATCACGTGTGCGTGACGTGGTCCACGCGTGATGGTGTCTGGGAGGCCTACCAGGATGGAGCGAAGAAAGGCACAGGGCAGAACCTGTCAGCCTGGCACCCAATCAAACCAGGAGGGATTTTCATCCTTGGTCAGGAGCAGGTATGACACACTGACTGTGGGATGATAATGTCACATACAGACTATATCAGCAGATATAGGTATGTCAATTCATTTTATACCCCAACGTTTGCTATAAGAGGTTTTAAATTGAGTAAATACAAAGTCAAATGTGTGGGTCATTATTTATTTAATAAAAACTAAACCAAAGTATCTTGTAGAACCAGCATTATTGGCAGTAACTTCAAGTAATCTTGTCTGTTTGACTCTTAGAGGAATTCATTTATGCACAGCTGCCTTAACCACCACAGCATTTTAATGAAACTGAGGTGTGGATTTTAACTGGGCTTTTGTAATTCTGCATTGTATTGCATTCAATGCATTCAAT